AGGGGGGGGCTCGAGCCAGTTTTAGTCACCTTGTTGAAGGGACCCCCCCTAGACATTGAACCCAGCCCTTCTGGTTGCCGACTGGCATCGGCCAAAGGGTTACATTTGAATAACACCAATATACTAATATTGGTGCTGTGGTGCATTTAATTTTTTCCTGGTATAAGGGGAGGAGGCACATTAGCTGAACAGGGCCATGTTACCTATCCACATGACCCTCTCCATTCCACATTATCTGGGAAATGGAGGACTGGGGGCAGTACAATTGCTGGAGGAGCTGCCACCACTCTGCCCCTTTCTCTACAGCCTCTCCCAGCAGGGAAAGCAGCAGAACCCCTGCCCCACACTAATACTTCCACAGTACTGTGTCTCCTCTGGCTGTGTACAATCACAACCCTGCCAGGGAACCGGGCTGGAATTCTGCTCCTTTGCCTGCTCGGAGGGGCAACAGAATGCAGGGGGAAAAGAGAAGAAAGTCAGAAGCTCCTCCAGCTGCCATACCACTCCCAGCTCTGTTCTTCTGATACAGCTCTGAGGATGGAGTAGGGACAGTACAATATCTTTCTGGGATGCTGTACTGGCTACAAATAACCTACTGGACCATACTGGCCACTTCCTTACCGGTACATTGTACCGGCTTACTTTCACCTCTGTATTGGTTTGTGGAAGACAAATGGGTGATCAAGTCTGGCATAATTAGAGTGCAAATGGAAAAATACATTAAATATGGTGGCTTATAGTCTAGCTAGATTTTTTAAATTAGCTTTTTAAAATAAAAGTTTCTGACTAAATTACAAAATCTCCTGTGTCCCTTCTCCTCTTCACACAATCAGGCCCAAGTCCTCATGTTCAAATCCTTCTTATCAAGAACAGGGAGAACTGAACTGGGCTGATTCAGCCTGGTGAATTCTCTAACCTGTGGGCAAAACACTAAATAGGAAGCTGCCTTTGACTCCACTGGTCATTTTGTGGTATTATATATGCTCCGAAACTGTCTACACAGCAGCATTATTTTGAAAAAAACACCACTTATTCCAAAATAACATAGTGTGTATCTACACAGTGAGCCCATTATTTCAAAATACTGGGCTTCTTACTCAGACTTCTGTTGTATGAGGAGCAAGGGAAGTAGGGGGAAGGTTGCTCTATTTCTAAATAACTGCTGTGTAGACTCTGCCAATAGTTGAAATAAGCTTTTTCGACTTATGCTACACGATGAGCATACCTCAAGTTGCGTATCTTATTTTGATACATGCTGTGTAGACATGCCCTGAGTGTCCTTTCTGGATTAGGCCAGGAGTGAGTGAGGTAGGATAACACCTAATTTATGGCTCCAGTGGTACTTAGCTCTGAGACAAACACCTGGGCTGTGTCTAGACTGCATTCCTTTTCCGTAAAAGGGATGCAAATTAGACACATCACGATTGCAAATGAAGCGGGGATTTAAATCCCCCCCGCTTCATTTGAATAAATATGGCTGCTGCTTTTTTCCGGCTCAGAGCTTTGCCGGAAAAAAGTGCCAGTCTAGACACGGATCTTGTGGAAAGAAAGCCTTTTCTGAAAGATCCCTTATTCCTCTTAAAATAAGGAGTCTTTCGGAAAAGGCTTTATTTTCTGAAAGATCCGCGTCTAGACTGGCTTTTTTCCAGCAAAGATCCGAGCCGGAAAAAAGCAGCAGCCGTGTTTATGCAAATGAAGCGGGGGGGGTTTAAAACCCCGCTGTGTCTAATTTGCATTCCTTTTATGGAAAAGGGATGCAGTCTAGACACAGCCCTGGATACTTAGGCTGAGGTGTTGTATACATGATCAATGAGATAGGGGACTTTCATAGCAAAAATGAGAGATTTTAGAAGCCTCCAGAGTTGGGTGTCAGCTGAGCATAGATTTTGAGGCTCTCAGTGGCTTCTATGTTTTGGACATAAATTTATGAAGTGGGAATTAGGCACTTGAAATCCTTTTCTGAATTTGGTCCTCAGTACATTACAGGGTGAGTCCCTTCTGCTCCATTCAAACACTCATTAAAATCAATAGAAAAGTTTGGGGTAAGAGGCTCATAGCCAGGCTGTGGGATATAAAGTGATTATGTAATGTTATGGTTATAAAAATAATACATTAAGCCACATGCAAATTAATGTATGAATCAAGAATGTATACTTTGGGCACATTGTTCATTTTTATACGCAAGATTTTAGTCTAAAGTAATACAACTCACCTAAAATTTTGTTATACCCGGGGGCTACACCTACACTGGCCTGATCTTGCGCAAAAACTCTTTAGCACAAGAGTTCTTGCATTAAAGTAGTTGCGCAAGAGAGCGTCTACATTGGCATGTGCTTTTGCGCAAGAGCATCCATGCCAGTGTAGATGCTCTCTTGCGCAAGAAAGCTCTAATGGCCATTTTAACCATAGGGCTTTCTTGCGCGAGAAATTCACGTTGCCTGTCTACACTGGCCTTTTCTGGAAGAGCTCTTGCGCAAGAGGGCTTATTCCTGAGTGGGAGCATCAGCGTTCTGGTGCAAGAAGCCCTGATTTTACACATTAGAACGTCAGTGTACTTGCTCAAGAACACGTGGCCAGTGTAGACAGGCAGCACGTTTTTGCGCAAGAGCGGCCATTTTTGTGTGAGATTGCACCAGTGTAGACACAGCCTAATATATTCCAATAGGGTCAAATCTCAGTGACCTTATTGAGGGTAAAAATTTCCATTTGAAATCAGTGGAGTTTTGGCAGGGAAAATTGTTCAAGATTTTTGTCCATACCAAGTTGCCCATGGGAAAATTTAAAATATATTATGGACTTCACTTTTGTCATAACTTTTTAAAAACCATGTAATTAATATTAAATGAGAATCCTCCCTTTTCCAGTTTGCTACTGAAACTTTATAGGTTGTTTAGACATTGGCTAATATAAATGCACTAGGCATTTATTATGTGAACTATTTGTATAAATAAAAGTTTGCATAGTGTGAGGTTTATGCTGGTCCAGTAAACCTACCACATTCCTTACCATACATATATTTATTTATTAGATTTTGCAGCTACAATCTACAAAATGTTAGCTAAAATATACAACCCAGAGGATGTAAAAGGTGAAAATTATCATGGCAACTTGAGGTTTACATCTAAAAATAGTCTACTCCAGCCAAAATTGATTTTTGCTAGCTTCTAATAATGGCACATCCATATACTTGCTTTTTCCTTCAACAGCTTCAATTTTTCAAAACTTATTTCTTGTAGAATCATGAAACGTATTTCACTGTAACCTCTAAGCTAATCACAGAATTCCTGAAATGAAAATACTGGTTGAGGAATAACCATGACTATCACATCATTGCTGTTAGTGTCCAAAACCCAGGCTCTCTACAGAGTGTTCTGGCTAATATGAATACACCCCATTCTGTAGGTGTTGTATGTTTCTCTCCTAAAAACTCCTTGAGGGCAGAGACTTTTTGGGGCACTCTTCATAGCATCCACACCAGGTGCTATATAACCATCAAGAAGCTAAGAGAGTTTTTAAACAGCAGACACCTGTGTGGCAGCGTAGAGAATGCATCTAGCAAGAGGGAGAGCATGGAAGCTGAGCGTTGTAAAATGTGACACAGCACATTTTCCCAGAACAGCAAAATCAGCTGTTTCGTGTCTGCTTGTACCTTAACCTTTTGTAAGTAATTATCGCTTGAAACTTAGCCATATGGATGTCTGCATTGGCCGCCTCTCCTGCAGGGCAATCTGCTTATGCACAACCTTATGACAGTATGTTTCTAAGCCCTCCCTTTTCCCTTCCGTTACATGTTGCTTCTCTGTGAAAGCAAGATCTTGCACATCTGCGTGAAGGAAGTTGATCCTCAGCTGACTCCAATACACGATGAGATTGATTGGGGAGGGAGAGCAGAGCGAGAGTGTAGCCCATTTGTTAACCGCTCCAAGCGCCTGCCGTCTTGGGTTTTGCCTCTGGTGAGAGGAATAACAAAAACCTGGGGAGTGTCAAGCGAACAATCTCCTTGCCAGTCTTATTCCTTAGCACAGAGTAGTTCGTTGAAATGCCGTGTGGCTGCTTGCTGAGCCCGCTTCACGCAGCAGGATTTGAAAACACACAGTCAGGCAAATGGATGGATTGATGGGCAAGCCTCTCGGCCGGGATTACTTCACACTCTTGTTGTGTAGCAAGCGGGAGCTGCCAGACTGCACATTTAACTCTCTGTGGCAGGGACTTGCCTGGCTCCGGGTCACACAGCAGAGCATCCCCGGGCCAACTAGGGATATGAAGGGGGGGGGGGGGCGGAGCGGGGGGGGGGGGGGCAGAGAGGGGATCTTTGATACACCCAGGCTGGTTTGCTGGAAAATCACCAAGGTCTTCTTGCCAGTCACCTTTTGGGGCCTCCCAGCGGTGCGATTCAAAGATAACCCAGGGACCTGCGTTCCTAAACGGTCGGTCAATCAGACGCCAGCACCTGCGAATCGCTTTACCCTGCAACGCGTGCAGCCATCCAGTGTAAGGACAAGTAACTGTGCACCGTCACGCATTAGTCATTACCCCCCACCCAAATTGCATTTAAAAAAACCCCATAACAACTGGGAGGCAACTCATTCGGGGAATTAGCCACCCACCTTCTTCTGCAGGGCTGCTTACCAAGCAGAAGTGCAAAAAGCACCCTGCATGGGTCGTTTGAGAAGCCCCTGCAAATTGGCAGCGGTTGGAGACATAACGACGTTTGTATTTAATTAAGTCAAAACCCTCTTCTCTTCCCCAAGCCCCAGCTCAAACCCGACCCCCCTGGCTGTTCAGGGGGGGTTCTGTCTTCTTTCTCTCCACTTTGCAGCTGGAGTAAGCGTGAGGGGCGGAGAAGAGAGGCTTTTGGCAATCACTGGGGGCTATGCGCGCTTTTTTCCTCTCTGATCTTGGCTATGCGGTGGTCAGGACTTTCCTCCGCCTCTCTTCCTCAGCCCCCCCCTAACCCCGAAGGGAGAGAGGCGGAGGCGACATACGCTCCCTTTCCCTGCTCCGCGGCTGCAGCAGCAGCCGGTGCCGAGTCGGTGCAGCAGGACCAGGGGGTGGGAACTCCCCTCTCCTTCCCCACTTCGGACAAACACAGCTGTTGCCTGCCTACCTCCCTCCTCTCCCTCCTACGCGGGTGTCTTGAAGGTGCCAGGGAGGAGGCGACGGGGGCGCAGACTGGAGGTCCCTGGGTAAAAGGGGCTCGCTTTGCGGACTTCGCCCAGGGCTGCTGCGGTGGGAGCTCACAGCTACTGCCAGGACCAGGAGCGGGGGAGGAGACTGCAGTTCCTTCCCCCTCTTCCCTTGCATGCTCGTTTTTCTTTTTTCCCCCTCTCCTCTGCCTTAGTCTTCCTCTTCTCCAGATTTTCTCCCCCTCCCTTTTGTCTTTCCCCCAATATTTCTCTCGCCTCCTTTAGGGTGCTGTGTTGGGGGCTCAGAGCTAGCTGGGGAGGACGATCAGGAATGGGGGGTGGGCAGATTTCCCTGCTTGCCCGTGTGCTGATTGGAAGAGGCGATCGTGTCTGTGTCCGAAGGATTAACAGCTAAACTTTTATTTCTGCTTCTGTGCGCGCTCTCTGTGTAAGTAAATGGGGGAGCCTCCGCTTCAAGAGAGAACGCGGCTTGTTTCCTTTTTGCCAGCTGCAGCTGGTGGGGTGGGGAGCAAGGAAGATTTTCTGTAGGACATAAAAGTGCAGGAGAGGGGGAAAACCCCTCCTCTCCAAGAAGCTACAATCTCTTCCCCCTCCACCCACCCGTGGAATGCGTGGAAGAATCTCTGGGGTTTTCTTCTGCTCTTCACCCTGGACTGGAGGAGTGAGGGATCGCTCTCTGTCTAGCTAGCTCTCCAGCTAGCCCCGGGAGGATTTGAGCCGGTGCCCTGTGCTTTCAGCTGCTGGCTGCTCCTGCTTGAGACTATGCACCACGCAGAGAGGGGCTGCAAAAATGGATTTGCTCCATGTTAAGGGATTGCTTCTCTAATAAGGATTGCGTGGCCCACAAATATGACTAAATCCCCTGTTTGGTAAACCGCCCTGCCCCCTCCCCTTTGGGCTCCCTCCCCGCACCCCACCCCTTCAGAGGAGCCAGCCCGGGGAGCTGATGACGGACCCATTAATCCTTTCTTCAATGCATCAAAAGAGCCCAAAGGGCTGGGCAACGCTGGGCTCGCAGTCCTCCAGGAAATGCTTCGATCGGCTGTTGGTTTTGTATGAAACTGGTGATTAGGAGGGGGGGAGTGTTGAGCGAGCGAGCCCCCTCCTCGTTGGCTGCTGCCTCTTTCCTGGCCCCTTCTGATGTGCTCTTTGCCAGGTGCTTGTCCTACGGGCTCTTCCTCTGCTGCCTACCGCCGCCAGTTATGCAGACTCCCTATCGTCCTCCCCGGCTGCTGCTTTTGAGAGGCTTCAGAGATGATGGTGGTGTGGAGGAGGGTGGTTCTGGTGTGATGGGCTGGAGACGGTGGTGATCGTCTGGAGGAGAAAGGAAGGGCTCCTGCTACTCCCCTTCGCTGTGTGTATGTGTGTGGGCTTCAGTGTTTCTACTCCATCCTCTCCCCACCACTGGAAGTCCTCCCGTATCTAAATGGAATTAGTGGAGATCGAAGCCCCTTGTGTAAGGAACAGACATGATCCATGGGCGCAGTTTGTTTCACAGTAAGTATCTGCCCTGCTTGGCAGGGCAACAATTTTTTCCCTCCCTTTTTCCAACAGCACAGGTGGGGAGACATTGTAGGACGGTTAAAACCGGACCAACCGCTTCCAGGCGTGGGTTTAAACTTTCTCTCCCTCTCCCCCCAATGCAGTATAACTGAAAGAGGTGCAAGAAAGCAGCAGACACAGCTTGGAGTTTGCGGTGACACCTTCACTTGTTTATTGAGTTTGTGGTGATCGTGAGGGAGGAAGGACTTGACCTGTGATTACACAGAGCTTGGGGCGGGGGGGG